AAATGTAGTCTCTAGCTGATCACTCACATGTCCAGAGAAAACTCTAACTATGCAAGACAATTGAGAAGAGAGAAAAAGTAATCATGTCTGGGGAAACGTAAAGCTGATTTTAATTAACAGTAAATATATCATGCCCCTCTAATAATTTGGTTGGTTTTCCTTTTATATGCTATGGATTGTGTTGGCCAGTAGGATTATGGGCTTGGCAATTTTTGAAAACTATGGCAGGCACCACTTTCAGACACAGCCTGAATAGAATCCCCTAGAGCATATCTTCTTCTACTATGGCAGGGGTAACTATTCTTTCTCTTCTCTATTTTTGTCAATCATTCATATTTTATTTCAACTGCCTATTTATATGCACATCTTCTTTTCTAGAAGCTCTTCTTCACGTAGGTAAGGATCCTGTCTTATATACCTTGATATCTCAAGGGCCTAGCAGTGAGTTTGCATATATTAGAAGATTAATATTGAATGAATAAGTGAATAAACTAAAATCTAATATGTGAATATAAATATATTCATATATACATTTATATTTATTATATACAAATATGTAATATATATAAGTAAATATATTTATTTATATTAAGTAATATAAATATATTTCTTAAATGTTGGTTGACATTTATTGAGTATGTTTTATGGGGTGTTGTCAGATGACAATGCATGATGAAAGAATAGATGTCCCCCAACCTCATTGTGTACTTTAAATATATTCAAATGTATTTATTCTCATATTGGGTATATTCTTCATTCCCTGAGGTATATAAAAGCACTTAGTTACTTGCACAGCAAATAGTGAAGCTTGGGCAACTTCAAGGTTAAGATGTATATTTTGTTGTGATCTGAAGGGTTTTAAAGAAAGATACTTTTCTCGCTCTTGGGGATCTGCTTCGTTTGTCCTCATTCCCAGCTGAGTCTTTGAAAGGTTTGTGATCCAAGTAAAGTTTACAGGAAGCTTCTTACCTTCCCGAAGCAGTTTATAAGAACCTAAGACAGGTTTCTCTCCACTCCCAACAAAATAAGCTTGTCTGTTGATTTATTGCACTTTCCTCTCTTTTCCTGAAATCTCAATCTCTATTTGAAAAAGAACAAGAAACTTTGCCTGTTTTTAATTTTCATTTCCCCGGCAAGCTGTCTCACTTTTTCTTTCCTTTCATTTTTCATAAATGATGTCTTTCCCTCATTGCCCCCTCCCCCTCCCCAGTGGCCACTGGTTTGAGCTTCTTTGTCCAAAATTTTTGCCTTTGTTTTCTCAGCTACAATGCAATGAAGTGTCTTCTTCAAAATGTTTTGACCTCAAACAAAATGGGTTTCAGGAGAAGCTCTCCTGTTCCTCACCCTGTTATGTATTATCGTATTATAGATCCAGGGAAATCGATATATTGCAATTTATTTTTAATAACCTGCGTATTTAACAAATATAGACAAGAGGACTGAAAATGTCTTTAACCGTTTCAAAGGAGACAGAGAACCCATAAAATCTGTTGGTTGGTTGTAAATCTGGTTAAAATTATTGAATTTGATGAATACTACTTATATCTATCTTAAAACAAACTTGGCTATATTTGTTCTTAACTAAACTATTTTCCAATCAAATATATGCCATTCAGCAAATAGCCTTTCCAAAAAAATACTGCTACTTTTGTAAAGTTTGATAAAATGTTCTAGCATCTCTATATTGCATATAAATTTTGCTATGTGTGTGTATGTATATTTAGATATTATATGTGTCTGAATTTTGAGTTGTTTGCTGTCTGTTAGTCACTTCTTTATCTGTCGCTAGAACCTAAAAATTCTCTACACAGCATATACACTCAATAACTGTTTGCTGAGTAAAAAACATTCCCTTACTCACTAATTTGAGCATCCAGTCTGTGCCCAGCATTATACCAAGCACTGGTAAACACAAGTGAATAAAACAGAGTCTTTGCTCTAAAGAGTTCAGAGTCTAAATGGGGAGAGTGAGACAATTGTAATAATTGTGATAAATTGCCTGATAAATGTGTTAACGTGAACAGGTCCTAGACTAGTTGGTGTGGGGACACATCCAGATCTGGATGGTAAATGTTTTAAAAGACAAATAGTTTCCCCAGGCAAAGAAAAATAGGATAGAGTTGTGGATAGAATACATGTCTAGGAGTCTAAATACTAGAAAAAATGTGAACAATATGTTTTTCTATTCACTAAAAATGATGGTAAATACTGAATAATCAATCATACCATTGTGAAAATTGAAGTTTGAAGTTTGCTTTACTGAATTACACATTGAAAGCATATAAATGCCCAGAGTTGACATCATAGCTTTTGCTGCAGAAATAAAGTCTGATACCTTAGCTATCCCTCAGAATTTGTGCCCTTCCTTGACATGCTGTGTGAATGCAGAGAATTCACATGGCTCAGTACTAGGGAATTGAAGATGCTCATAAAAACTTCTGCCTACTTATCTTCCTTTAAGCAAAGGAAATGGACACTGAAGTCAGGCAATCCTCAGCAAAGATAGTGGGCGTTTATCAGGGGAGTAATCTTAGGTAAGTGACCTCAAAGTCACGGAGATCCAGGGTCCTCAAAGTTGAGAGAAGGCCAAGAATAGCTAGTTCAGAGTGAAGATTAAATGAGATAAACTATCTCCGTTAGTCAGAGTTCTCCCAGAGAAACGGAGCCAATAGAATGTGTATATATACATATATATGAAGAGATTTACTATAAAGAATTGGCTTACAAGACTATGGACGCTAATAAGTCTCAAGACGTGCAGACTGAGCCAGCACGCTGGGGACCCAGGAAAGCCGATGATGTATCAGAAGGCCTGAGAGCAAAGAGAATCAACGATGTGGTTCCAGTTGAAAGGCTGGCAGGCTTGAGACCAAGGAAAAGCCAATGTTTCAGTTCAAATCTGAAGGCAGGAAAAAACTGATGTTTCAGTTTGCAGGCAGTCAGGCAGAAGGAATTCTCCCTTATGGGGGGAGGGTCAGCTGTTTGTTCTATCCAGGCCTTCAACTCACGGTATGGTACCCAACCACACTGAGGGGACAATCTATTTTACTCAGTCTACGGATTTAATGTTAATGTCATCCAAGAATACACTCACTCAAACACCCAGAATGATGCTTGACCAAATACCTGGGCACCCCACAACCCAATAAAGTTGACACATAAAATTAACCATCACAGTATCTAAAGTTCCATGCACAACGACTGAAACAGGGCTTCAGAAAAGTTTTAAATAAATGAAAGAATAAATAAAACCATGACAAAAACAAAGACAAATGGTTTGCTTAATCATTGTTTAATAGGGAACAGAAAAAACTTGGCATCACATAAATAATTACTCCTGGAAAAACTAAAGATCACTTTGGGAGAGTGAGATAGAAGAGTGAGAGGGAGGAACGGATCTCAGGAATTTACTATAAAATGCAGGGTATTGACATAGTTTTCCCCGGAGCAAACGTGGCATACAATCAACCACAGCAAACCACAGAATGAGAAAATCAGCTTGTGGCCAACCCAAAGGACAACTTTCGAACCACAAGCTGGGATGCCTGATGCGCCATAATTCTAGTGGAAATTCAACAGGGAAATGAAGGGAAAAATCCTTAGATTTGATGCTGTGTCTGTCCCTGGACTCTATATTCAACAACTCCTGCAAGACAACAGATAAGGGCATTGCAACCAAGGAGGATAGTTAAGACTTAATTTTCCCCAGAGAAATAAAGGGAACTCCTGATGGAAAAGAAGCTATAGACGTTAATGTAGCATGGGGTACGTTTTTAAACAGATTGCATCATTTTGACTTGAATGCATCTGAATATTTTACACTAATTCAGTGCCTGCTGATTCATTACGCTGATTACTACCACTTCTGTTGCATTCATACAAAAACATTGTAAGGTAAATGCAAGTATCTATCTTACAAATGCAGATACTGGACCTTAGAGAAGTAAAGGTTAACGTCACATATCCAGAGAACACTGGATACAGGAGTCAAACCCAAGTCCTCCTACTCCAAATTCAGGACGTTTAATAGCCTTGAGTATTCTTCACAGTTGATCCTTGACTGTTGCATGAAGCATGATAAATTGAGATGCATATTTTTGAAGCTCCTCGAAGACTCCACAAGTTACAAGAAGTCCGGCCTCCTACACGCTTAGGTAAAATAAAGTTTGTGTCCATATTTTATCATCTGAATGTACAGCAAAATGGGAAAATCTTACCTAGAGAAAGTAACACTATGCCCAGTTGCACCATTCATCATAGCGAAAAGGGAAATTTAGTATTTGTTTAGTCATAGTAGGAAGAGATGGAGAAGAGCTTCCTCCTTACAATATTTTTAATTCACCTTCATCATTAAATTCATGCTACAGGTGCTTGACAGTACTCTTCAGTGGCTAAGAACATGTGCTGTAGGTATTATTCTAGAACAAAGGAGAACAAAGAGACATGAAAACTAAACCTTTAGATCCTGACTTGGCAAAGCATATCTACAAAGGCTATTACTGGATCAATTGTTTTCAATAAAAATAAAAAATGCAGTACATTTTTAACATGATGAATCTAGTTAAAGGAAATATTGGTGTCTCTTGTACCATTCTTACAACTTTTCCATAAGTTTGAATTTTATCAAAATAAAAATTTTGGAGATAAAAAGCAAAAACAAAGTAGTGTAAAATACCTCATCTCAAAAAAAGAATATTGTCTTTGTAGCTGGATAGGCTTGATTTGAACATGAGTTGTGCCATTCCTTAGGTATGGGACTTTTAGAGAGTTATTTAATCTTTCCAAGTTTCAATATTCTCATCAATAAAATGAAATAAAAGAAACTAATTATGAAAATTTGTTGTGAAAATTAAATAAAATATTTTATTTAATATGCTTAGCAGAATTCAGCATATCATACCAAAAATAAATGTCTCATGATAATTATAATAATTAGCATTTGTTTGATGAGTTTAATTTGCCTATATTATCAGGACAATTGTTTCACTCTTTTTCTTCAGGAAGATCTGTCTCAGAATTAGTGTGAAAAGATTTTGCCACATCTGGGCCCCTTAAGACATCAACAACGATCTCAGAGACTGTCAAGGTATATTATTCGCTACGCTTTGGATAATCACATATCTCGTTGGGAAAAGCCACTGGGTTATTTTTATAAGGCTAATGGGTTGTTTTTATAAGGCTAATAATAAAAACTTCTAGAAAGAGTGAAGAGCTCTGTTTTATAGATTCCTGTCTTGTCCCTAGCAGTGTTTGTCAAAACAAGGGCTTTTCCCACAGGAAAATCTGTCAGAAAACCCAACCTCTCCAGTTACTGTTTAATACCAACTCCCTTTTAACGGGCCCACCAAATAAACCAGAAAACCTACTGCTTACAGAAAATTATGATGGTCTAAAAAAATATGGTTGGTATAAAAAATAACTTACAATTGTCAGTAAAATTACCATAGATAATTATAAGAATAATAATACCAGCTGACACTACTTTATACTTTTAGGCAATTTGAAGTTCCTGTATGATTCCACTTAGATAACATTCTTTAGTTGACAAAATTACAGAGATAGAGAATGGATCAGTGGTTGCCAGAGGTTAGTGTGGGATGGGGGTGAGGGTGAGAGAAGGATGTGTATATAGTTATTGAAAGTCAACATGAGGGATCCTGGTGGCCATGGTAATAGCGTTGTTCTGTATTTTGATTGTGATGGCGGATACAAGAAACTACACCTATGATAAAATTGCATAGAACTAAATGCACACACACACATGTGAGTGTGGGTAAAACTGATACAATCTAAATAAAATTGGTGAATTTTATCAATGTCAATTTTCTGGTTGTAGTATTGTGCTACAGTTTTGCAAGATGTTACCATTAGAGGAAACTAGATAAAGAGTACTTGTGATCTGTCTGTATCATTTCTTTCAACTGCATGTGATTTTACAATTTTCTCAAAATAACAAAGTTTAATTGGGAAAAAAATTACCTAATGTCTTTTCTTTTTTTTTATTGAGGTATAATTGACATGCAGCATTCTGTTTCAGAGGTACAACATAATGTATATATTGTGAAATGACCACCACAATAAGCCTAGTTAACATTCCTCACCATACATAGTTACAGAATATTTTTTCCTCTGATGAGAGCTTTTAAGATTTATTCTCTTAGCAACTTTCAAATATGTGATACAGTATTATTAACTATAGTCGCCATGCTGTACATTGCATCCCCGGGACTTATTTATTTTATAACTAGAGGTTTGTACCTTTTGACCACCTTCATCCACTTTGCCCACCTCCCACCCCCTACCTCTGGCAACCACAGTCACTTAATCTCTTTTATCTACCTTCATGCCAATAGTAATCTTTTGAGGTGGAGGAGAGAGATTTTTCTCTAGGCCATTTATATACATTTTAATAACGCTTTGATCTCTGTCCAACTTCCATGTAGAACCTTCTGCCTTTTAAAAGACCAGTAACTAATACAGAACTTCTGAGTCCACCATCCCGAGAGAAACAAATTAGGCAAATGCGGATATATGAGATTTGTCATTTGATGAATAAACAAGAACTTCTCCAGGGAGAAGAGGAGCAGCTTGAGTGAGCACGGTTTCTTGAGTATGTGGAGGGGGAGAATGAAGTTATTGTTATCTGCTGTGACACCTAGAGCAGCCTGCCCACCACCAACGACGACTGTCCGTGGCAAGAGTCTGGGATCAATTAAGGAAAAGTGAACTTCTAACCTATGTGAACTGTCACGGTGGAGTCCTGGCCTGGCTGATCTTCGAGTTTCCAGAGGTTAATGACAGCACTCCACAGCTGACAAGAACCTCCCCTCTTTTCTACCTCCACTGACTAAACTCTGCCCTCTGAAGCCCCAGAGGGAGAAAGTTCGCTTTCCCCTTATTTCTAGAGTAGAAAAAAAAGAAAAGATAAATATAGTCTTGTTCGAGAAGGAACCTCCCTTATCTAGAGCAGTGGCTGATACGTAATGGGTGCTCAATATATTTTTATCAACTATTAATATAAAATAAACCCTAAGAGGAGTTCAGCTCACAGTTCCTGATCTAAACACCAGTAATAATAATGATGATGATGATAATAATAATAATATCAATCATCTATCTGTTAAATGCTTCCTATGTATCAGACGTTGTCTTTATATATGTAGGCACCAATCATTCAAGTATTCTGTACAATAGATGCTATTTTTAATGGCCATTTAATAAAGGCAGATTGAACAACTTCCCAGGTCACACAGCTATTCAGTGGCAGAGCTGGCTGTAAATATAGCCAAAGCAATCCCAGCACTTGTGGTTAAACCACCAGCTTGTCTTGCCTCCAATAATTTACCGGGAGCATCCATTCATTAGGCAGAAGTATGTATTCAAAAGTGAAGGCATCCACTTTGGTTTTGAGCTTAACCAAAATTCTCATATAAAATTTCAAAAAGCATTCTAACAGCCCTTTTAATGTTTATAACAATCCTATGAAGTGGAAGTTATCAGCCCTAGTTTATTAATGAGAAAATGGTGTCAACATGGTTCAGTGGTTTAAAATGATAACCCATTTAATAAGTGTTGAACTCTGTCTCCTGAGTTTAATCTTCTAAACCAGGCACTTGAGTTTACCATATACTGTTGAATGTTGCATTTCAGGGTTAATTTTGCATCAGCAAGAATTTTAATTCAGTTTTAACGTCTGACTCTGACTAACTAGGTTAATTGAGTTCATTGAGGTACAATTTGCTCATCTCATAATATGAAGCTAATGATACAACCTATGCTTTCTGTCTCAGTGGGTTTTCATGAAGAAAAGATGAGATGTGAAAAGTCTTTGCCAGCTGTAAACTTGCAGGCACATTTAAATTGCCACTGTTATTATTTTTCAGAATCATTTTTATTTCCAGGAAACAATGCCAAAACGGGAAGCTCACTGGATTATAATTTGGGGGCATTATACATTCAAATCAGAATTCATTTATTTATTTATTCATTTATTTGTTCAACAAGTGGGTTTTGAGTATCTATTGTATGAGACGAACACTATACGAGACCCTGTAGAATATACAAAGGAATTGCTCTTTGAGCAAATATTACCTGTCAAATTGTAGCTGTACAGAATACATGGCTTTTCACCATTAGTCCATCCGCCATCCACAACTATATTCTGAGCATGACTCAGTCATTAATAAATACTTCATGCAAATTATTAGAAAATTACTATGTTACTCAAGCTTAGCACCATCTGTGTTATCCATGTTTTCTGCCCCAAACACACACACACACACACATATCCTGACTAGGCAGTGTCCTAGGCTGTGGGTATTCAGAGTCTCATAATCTATGTGTGAAGTTAGGCAATTAAATCAATTACTGTAATTATAAGAACTACAAGGGGTTATGCAGAGAAGTCTGTGACTTCACAGTCTACTGCTAACGCAAGACCTTGCAAAATCACTTAGCCTTTGTGTCAACCACATTAGACTAAAAGAAAAAATGGGTCTGAAAACTAGAAAATTCGATGTGGTGATGTTTTAAAACAACTCACAACAAGGGGATATTTGCAAACAAACCTAAATGTTTTCTATTCAATCCAACAGGTGTTCTTTGACACCCTGTGTATGGTCGATACTGAATTTTTTGGCGTCTTTGAAAACAACCACCTATTCTCTGTAGGCAGAAATGTATTCTCTAGAGCTGTTTTTCCAATAACATTTATTTTAACAATAATATGCTTAGTCTGCTGTGAAAATACAACTTCACTGATTAGGCAGCCAGCCCAGTCAAACATTGTTTGGGGTTATAATTATAGCTATTTAATTGTTGAACAATCTCATAATAGCTGCAAAAGAATCTCCGTTTGTTTATATGCAGCAATTTAAAACTTGTTTTCTTCTCTTTATTCTTTTTCCTCTTTAAAGGAGAACTCAGGATAAGTCTCGCCTGGAGCCCCAGAGTACAATTAAGCCCTCTACAAAACACATTGGGACTAGGAGGCTCTCTTTTGGTTAAAGCAAGGAGCTTTTGCCATGATTTGTTTTAATTTGATAAACAGAGAGAGCTGTTCTGTTCTGAGGCCTCTTTCCCCCCACTCAGAAAGAGGGTGTTTATGTACAGCTGCGGGGAATTACTCACAAGAGGTTTAAACAGTGGAAAAAGAAAACATCCTCTTTTCTTTTTGGACCCACCCAGCCCACCAAGGTTTACAGACTTAGCCAATGGAAAGATAGATTACGGTTCACTGAAAACTCCCCTTGGAAAATGGAGACCCAGACTCCATCAGGACAGCTACAAGATGTGAAGGGCTGACAAAGTGGCGTTAGCAGCTGCAGGGGCATGGCAAGGAGAAATCCTCTGAAGAGGCTTTGCTTGAGAGACAGCTTGTAGACTAGATCCCGACATAGAGCCATGGTGAGCAGGGTTGTATAAAGATGTGTGGTGGGAGTGAAATTATGAATGGCACTATGGTCCCTACAGGGTCGGTAAACTCCGTTTTAGCCAAAATGAACAAAATCTAGATTTTCCTGCTTTTATTTTGTACAATTTTTGGATAAAGAATAGAATGGTCTATTTCAAATTTTCCCTCAACTCAAGTAATCTTTTTCTAGGCATTTTATTTAACTACATTGATCTGTTCAAAATAGAAGTAGAAAATTTAGCTAAATGAGAAATTCGGTTAAAAGATCTCAGAGTAACTTAACAACACCTTGAAATGAGTGGTTAAAATTTTAATAAATCAATCAGTAGCTATGCTATTATTGTTTCAAATTAAACATCAAAAGTTTTGATTTGTGGGCTATTTTTAAATATACTAAGTATTGGCCCACTTGCAAGTCTCTACAAGGAAATACATTTACTGTTGCAAGCAGGATGGATTTTGAGCTTTAAAAATATGCAGTAAATGTTTATTTCCATTACTTTTGAGTTTTCATGATTTTTTGAGAAGTAAGTCATGGAGTAGAGTTTTCAGACTAATAAATAATAAATAAATTAAAGATTAATAAGTATATATATTATTTTGAAAGTATAGAATCAAATTGTAATGTTTTGTGGCATTATATTTTACCTACTACAGTTTGAAAAAAAAGAAAGTAAAGAGAAAAATATAGAATATTTTATGTTTGTTTCTTGGAGTAGAAGTCACCAAATTAACTTTTATCAAAACATCCTTATATAGAGCTGTCATGGCTATACATTTCTGGAAAAAATATTTAAAGAAAACTTTCCTGTATGCATGGCTTAATTAAATAGAGCTTTGTTAAATTTTCCTTGAACATTTGTTGAATATAACAGTTGAGTAAATAATTTAACTTAGAATTCCTTAAAACATTAGTATGCCAGCTTTAAATATTTTCTTCAAATTGTCATGAAGATGTCAATCTAGAGACGAAATTCTTAATTTGTCTCGATGTCTCTGCTGTATTGGACTCTTGAAGTATTCTTAAAATCCACTCTCTCTCACTTGCATGTTTTTGTAGAGTGACGTGAAGATAAGTTCAAATTCAATAATTCCAAATTAATTTTATTTACCATTTCTAAATTTACTTTGAATATTGCACCCAAATATGGTGACTCAGTTTATCTATGGTAAACTCAGGTGCTAGGCCATATATACATGCTTTGCAATTTTAAGCTCTCAAAGGATACAAAAAGCAGATTCTTAGATCAAACAGGTTTCTTGTTTGAAAAAAATCTCTCATGATTAACCTGCTTTTTTCCCCTAAAGTATAACTTCGAAGAATATCATTATGCCTACTTCACATGAACGGGTTTTCTTTTTTTGAATGTATTTCATCACTAGGTAGAGATGGAACAAATTCAAACATAATCAGCAATGGCGGTTGTAGAGATTTCATAAAGTATTTAGAATTTTCCATCATCCTCCATTTAAAATGATAACAAACACTTGGTCTTTTAGCCATTTAATTCATATTTTTTACAAAAGAAAATATATCATTCATAGGAAGCACATATGACATAATTGGGGAAGCTCATTGTAATCATTGCCATAAGATTATTCTGGAGAAAATGTTTGGTTTATGCAAATTAGCCAGTAGTTGAAGTAGAGGGATGTTTATTCAGTGTTTTAAGGGAAATAAAATCAAAACCCTAAGTCTCAGTTTTTTGTAGTAAGAAATAAATGACTTCAAGAGATAATTCTCTTCCCTTTCTCTCTCTCCCTCCATTTTGACCTTCCTTTCATGATAAACTTGTTTTCATATTTTTAAATGTCATTGTTAAATTTATTTTTCTCTCCTAAAAAAAAGTGTCTTATTTTTTGTTTATTTCAATGTTGTTTTTCTACAATCTTGCAAAGTCTAACCTATCTGGCACATAATAGCTGCTCAAAAATATTTGTTGAGTGAAAATGAGTAAATTAAGTCATGCATACTCATTGTAGAAAATGTGAAAAATATATGCTTCCCTCCAGAAGAAGGATGTCGGGGAAGAAAAGTGTGCTGGACCTTCCAGTGGTTTATCAGTGTCTGTGCAAAGCCTGCCCTTGGGTTTGTGACTGCCCTTAAGCGGTTTCCCATCTAGTCGTGTCCCTCTTTCCCTCTTTGAAGTCCACTGAGGAGCTGAGCAGAGCTAGAAAGGATAACAGAAGCAAGCCAAATAAGAGGTAGCCTTTAAAACATAATTGCCCTGGACTCCATGGACTTAGAAAAAGTCCATTCATGGCTAGAAGATGAACATTATTTATCCAAAAGGTTGCAGCTGTTACATTCTCTTGAGAAAACACAAAGTAGGACCTATCCACGCCAGGTTTTTCTGATTGCCTAACTTGAATGATTCAGAGATAAAATCCCAAAATAGGCATTTATAAAGGCAAGGATGAGAGGCAGAAAAGACTCAGAACTGAGGTTGGTACTCACTACTGCTGGTTCTTAAACTCCAAACCCATAAGCTATTTTTCTCCCAATTTTGCCATTTTGCCTAGGTGATAGCCCCGGGCCAGTCAAAACGGTCACAGGCAATTCTGTTCTGTCTACGCTACTGGTTATTTCTGAAAAACAATAACGGAAGCACTGAATCAAATAAGGAAACCAGAAATCTTAAGCCCTCAGATAAATAAGAAAACAAAAAAGTGAGAGGCGAGACTTCATTTTCCCAGGAATGTCCACATCTCTATAGAGTCAGTTTCAAAGTGGATTTGCTTTGAATAGGGTTTGGATTTGCCAACAGCCTATTAGTATATAATACACTGCTCACAATGCTCCAAGAAAGGATCTGAAGTTTGTTGTAGTTTTCCCACTTTCCCAGAGATGGGGAGAGCCAAGAGTAAGGGGTGAAGGAAAGTGGGCAAAAGATTGTAAGAGTAGGAGAAAACTTGTTGGATCCAATCCAGCCGTCTTCAAAGGATAACCTCTTCCAAACAGAGCAAACCTTCAGGGGAAGATTATGCAAAGCCCCTGCCTTCCAGCACCCCTGAAAACCTGCCACCCCCGTCCATTCAGATTTGAGGATTAAGAAAACTCGGGGAATGAAAGCATCTATTTATCCCTGGTCCATGTCAAGAATTGTTCTCCTGGGCTGGATCCTATGGGTTTATTGGTGGTGTGATCATTGCTTTTACTTTTTTTTTTTTTTTTGAGGGGGTGGGGAGGGCATCTGTATTATCTGATAGTTCTGTGTTTATATTTTCAGCAAGGATGCTTAATTGTGTAACTCCTGGCTAGGTTTCCCTTGCCAAATGATAGAAATCAAAGTTGGAAAAGACCTATTAGGTCATTTTATCCTAACTTCTGCCAGTGAGAATTTTGTCTCTAATATGCAAGATGAAGCGTCCACCCCTTCCCCCGGGAGATTAGCTTCTACAATCCAATTAGTCCGTGCTGCCAACACATTTTCCCTGATGTTCAATTTACAATTAATATCATTGTTTTTCTTAATTCCACTCTCACAAATTAAGTGTTTACTTTCTGTCATTGTTTTCAAATTTTAATCCACTGATAAGTCTATTTCCTTATTTTTCCCCAAATACACTCATTTATTTCATTTATTTTTTCCTAGAATCTTTTGTTTTATTTGCTCACAGTTGTTATTCTTTGCACAGCTCTGTATCTCTTTGATACAAAGATAATGGAGGCTTCTAATTTCCCAACTTGGCACATCTCATTAGGCATGTAAACCATGGGATTAAACAGAGAATTGAGAAACTTTAATGTTTTCAAAAAATTCAGCCTTCCTCAATATTTTGCTCCTATTTTGTGGAACTTTCTGGAAGAGCGGTTAGTGGCTTGAGATATGTCGGCAATTTCTGTGTCAGCTTTTCAGTTGTGTGTGTGTGTTTGCATGTGTCAGATTTTCTGCTGTGGAAACCCTAACTCAGATGATCAGACGAGGTAAGGCAGGCAGAGATACTAGGTAGGAAAAAAGGAAGAATGCTACTATAATGAATATAGGGACTGAAGAAGCAAAGCCACCCACCAGGAAACTTCACTCCCTGAAGAGAGGGACCCTTTTCAGGCTGAGGTGAACCACTGTGGGCCAAAGCTACCCAGTGCACGTGTGTGACAGACTCTCCTTACAGCAAGGCTTTGCCGTACTAGGATTTTATTTCTTCATTGCTTAAGGCTCTGGCTTTCTCCTGCCTTGCCTTGTCCCCTTCTTCTGATTCTCTGACCTTGTTTTGGCTGGCAGATTGCATTTGCCTATCTACTTCACCATGTAGATTCAATCTCCTCCTCATGACCTCCTCTCAGCCTGACTGTTGAAGGGAGGGGTCCCTGTTTCTTGGTCCCGCCCTCTGACTAAGCCCTCTCTTGCTGCTCCTCCCTTTCCTGATGATCCAGTACAGACACCTGCCCCAATTCCACTCTTTGCTCTACATCGCCAATTATTTGGGTGTCAAGACTGCCCGTCTGCTCAAATTTACAGTCAGCTCTGTCACAGGCCGCAGCCCTGACTCAAAGTAGCCTGCTATGTGGTTCTTTAAGAGAGTTTTGTATATAATTGACTCTCACAAACATGAGAAAGTACCTTAATGTGGTCTGTAAGGCCCTACAAAACTGCTGCCTAGCACCATAACCCAATCACATACCATTGAGCCCCTCTCACTCTGCTCCAGCCATGTTGGCTCTTCCTCAGTTCTTTTACTGGACTAGCACCCATTTCTCTTCCACTTTGGGCCTTTCATCCTATTGTTCCCCCTGCTTGCATAAGTGTTACTTACTCATCAACTCACAGCTTACATGGAAATTAGAAAGCCTCTAGATAACCTTCCCTGGGTAGTTGGATCCTATTGTTATACTTCATCATTCATCCCTATATTTGCATTGATAGCACTTACCAAAAATCATGAATATATATTCATTTATTTGTTATTTGACTTTTGTAAAACTCTATGATATGTGAAGACAGGCCCATGTTTATTGTTCATTTCTGCTTGTGTCTAGTATATTACAGATACTCAATCAGGTGAGCATTTTAACTATGATAATAAAAAAAGTAGAGAGCAGAATAGAAGTTGACAAAATCAGCCAGCCCATTATTGATAATCAATTACTTGTCTTAATCTACATAATTCTGTCATTTTTCTTAATACTTATAAACATCTAGCTTGGTTTATATATAAAAAAACACCTTGGCATTGTGCAAATCTATATCAAGTATTGTATCAGCAAAATTTTTTTGATTTCAGGCAAGAGAGAGCAACTGTACTATTTTTACTTGAAAAGAGACTTCGCTGGGAAAAATAGGGAGCTCATGGAACTAATGAGAAAATGGAGGACTATTCTTGGTGCATAGAGAGAAATTAAAAGAGCGTAGAATCTGGGTAGTAGGAGCAATGCTTTCCTGATGCTGCTCGTCACTGTACCAATGCTCCCAGACACTGCGGGAATCTCTAGGCAATCATTGGCTCCCACTGCAGGACCCCACAGCAGCTGTTGTGAATGAACTCCAACCATCTATTTGTTAGCAACTGACTTAAGCTTCAAAGTACTGGACCAGAGGGATGCTTGACTGAGGAGTGAATAGGTAATCTAGCCCTGGTCCCTGGTCAGAAGGAGAAAGAATTCCCCACCTTCTGCACAGGCGTTTTGAGGTAGGGAACCTCACCCCTAACTCTTCGCACACAGGTTATTCCTCCAAAATAAGGAGCAGAGATGAATGATGGACATCTCTCCACCAACCAGTCAATCAAACCAGCCAACCAATAAACCAACCAATAGCAACTGCTAAACCTTAGTTATCATGTTCAGGATATGCCATTCCCATTGCATGAGGCATTATCTTGCTTCTTGATCATCTCCTTCATTGCTTTCTCTATTACTAACTCTGTAGGTCTTCTTTTCTAAAAGAAAAAGTCTAAAAGGAAAAGTCCATAAGGAATAGAGTGAAGCAGGATAGAGAAAATGAAACTTCTGAGCAAGCAAGTATTCTTAGATAAAGTCTAGCCGTGGCCTGATCCATGGGGGAAGGTCTTTGAATCATTAACCACTTAGTTGTGTTGTCTTGCCTGAGGCAAGGGAGTGGCCCTTTATATACCACATGAGTCAGTCATTGGCTTTGAGTTGCCTCCAGGGCATGGGCATAACTCTCCAGGCGAAGCAGCCCACAGTTAGGAACACTAGAGAAGAGGGGAGCTATCTGTGAGTCATTAGCAGTGGACCCTCACAGAAGCTGGGTTTGGGGTGTACTAGCAGGTTAAAGGGGATCTGAGAGGGACATCACAGTATTTACTACGAACTCTGCTAGGTAACCTGTGTTGGGTTTATTAATTTATTGTTTGCATTTTCAAATAAATCAGCAAAAGAGCAACATTATAAAACTAATCTTGAAACAACTCCTCAGCTTTTCTTTTTGACTTTCCCAAGGTGTGAAAAATGTTGTGGCTACATTATGCCAAATTTCTGGACAGAACAGACATACAGTTGGCTCTCCGTGTCAGCAGGTTTCACATCTGCAGATTCAACCAAGAAGAGATCAAGAGTCCTACAATGGTTGCATCTGTACTGAACATGTACAGACTTTTTTCTTGTCATTACTCTCTAAAGAATACAGAATAATGGCTATTTACGTTGTATTTTCATTGTATTGGTCATTTTAAGTAATCTAGAGATGATTTAAAGTATACAGGAGGATGTGCGTAGGTTATATGCTAATACGAGGCCATTTTATATAAGGATCTTCAGCATCCTCAGATTTTGGTATCCACTGGGGACCTGGAACCAATTCCTCAAGGACACTGAGGGACGTCTGTATTCAAACAGCTGAACATTGTGCTCAAGTAGCCTTAAACGCAAGGACACTTGAAAGAACACAGATCAGCAACTAGTTTATGATTTTATTTTTCCATCCAGATGTTGACTGTTATGCTAGGGCATGGATATGTCAAATAAAAAGCTGTGTGCTTTTCTGCAAAATCAATTAGTCCTTGCACATAGGACCCTAAACACTGGAGTTGAGATCATTATTCGAGAGACATCTATAATGGTAATATAATAACCATTATATTATAATGGTATTATAATATAATATAATAACAAAAATATTAATAATCTCAAAGTTTAATTTTAAGTCCTCTACAGATTAACTAATTTAATTGCCCCAAAATACTCTATGAGAATTTAGGTATTTTTATGATCCCCATGTAACCCTTGAGGAAACTGAGGCACAGATAGATTCATAACTCAATCAAGGGCACACAGCTAGTAAGTGATGAAGTAGGAATGATTCTTTTCATTATTGCTGGGTGTGTCAAAATGACCTCAGCATTTCCCAGTAGATTGCTATTCACTTTGTCTCTGAATTAGAAGGTCAATGGAGTCATTAGTATTCTTTGTCAATTTCTTATTTTCAAATACATGTAATTAAATCTCAAAAAATAGTAAACCTCTGCCCTTTGGAGGTAAAGATATCATAAATGACCCAAGATGGGCAGGACAAGCTCTAACCTAGTGGCAACAGATGCTGCACTGAACACATTTATCTCTCTTTTCTGGGGTCCCTCTCATGCTTGCCACCGTAAACATACGTGAGCGGCCCATAGATTAAACTAACAAATTGATTGATCCAGGAAGTGAAAATCAATCTCATTACTACTAACATTATCTTTTTCACATACTTCACTGACACTGTGCAACTACTTTAAATAATGAAGAAGCCATTTTCTTATTTTAGTTTGGTTTGCCTCGGACCATTTCCTCCCTTTTTTGGTTGCATCACACTTCCCATATCAAAAGTCTGGACACATCACAGAGGCTGGGCCAATCATAGGATTCCACCCACCTGACCACTGCTGATTGGTCCAAAAATGGGCATATGACATAAACAAGACCAATCAAGTTTCTTCCCCAGGATTTTTCTAACTGGAGTTAGTTAGAAATAAATTCTTTCCATTCTATTCATGAAATTTGTCAGACTAGAAGCTCATGGCTGGTTGCAGTTTTATTTTGAACGCTGTGAGATGATTAGCTTGAGAGAATACAACTCTTGGTAAAAAGGCAAATACAGAAGACAGAATGATAACCTAGTGGTTTGAATACATAGATATAGTTTCCATTGGTGTGAGTGTTTTTTCTTTTTGTTTTGTTTTTGTGGTTTGGTTAGCTGAAATAAAATTTTTCTC